TCGGAGGTCAGTACTGCTGGTGGTGGTAGTGTTGTTGTGGTTGTTGTTGTGTTGTACTAGTTCTTAGAAGTAGTTGTAGAAGTAGTAACTGTTGTTGTTGTGGTTGTTGTTGTGTTGTACTAGTTCTTAGAAGTAGCTGTAGAAGTAGTAACTGTTGTTGTTGTGGTTGTTGTTGTGTTGTACTAGTTCTTAGAAGTAGCTGTAGAAGTAGTAACTGTTGTTGTCATTGTTGTTGTGTTGTATTAGTTCTTAGAAGTAGCTGTAGAAGTAGTAACTGTTGTTGTTGTTGTTCATGTTGAGGTACATGTGGTTGTTCTTATTCATGTAGTAGTAGTAGTCGTTGTTGATTTTGCTGCTGTTGTATTGACAATAATAATAATAAATATCTTTTGTATGGCGCAAACTCCCGCTCAACAGCAAGCTCTATGAGATCTACACTCTATATTATTACCCCTGAAGACCCGATCGCTCTCTGAAACAATCTCAACTTCCAAGGAAGCATATAACATTTTTTTGTTGAACAAACCATTTTTTGATCATGTGATTGGTGCAAAGCGCCCATAGCTTATACTAGTATGGGATAGAGCGCTAAAATATACATGCAATATATTATTTTCTTTGTATATTATATTTGTAAAAGTCGTTACTTTCGCAGCCTAAAACGTCCCAACCACTTAACTTCCAAATTTGAAAAATATAAATAACTGTGGTTCAGAATAATTTTAAGGGTGCACAGTTATATTAAGGAGTCTGAAGTCACTGTAGTTTAATTTTCAGTTTTTCATTAGTTTTGTTTAGATCTAATCTTGTGAAAGTCCGTTTTCTAAGACGCCATTGTATACAAGTGAGGCGTACCTTTGAAATTCTGGAGAGTACAACCACGAAAGCGGAATAGAGAATCGATCTATACATCTATCTAGACCTTCTAATTTTTGGCATCTCTCAATATGTATTGCTCCTTTCCCGTAGAGTGTAAATATAGTAGGCCAATGACTTCCAGTTGATGTTAATGCACCGATCATTCCTTTCATCGAAAGGAGGTCCAGCTAGTTATTAATATAAACCATATTGTTATTAATTCACTACTCACC